ATTCTGTATTTATCGTATCTCTATAGTTATCAATTTTTTTAATATTCACAAGACCTTCATAGTTTTTGGTAGCTGACTTTTGTTATAAGAAATATTTGTTGTAGTATGTACTAGTCAATAATTTCCTCTCGAGTACAAAAGTAATAACGAAATATAATGTTCATTTAATATAAATACATGTCCATATTGGTTGCACGGTTGGCTGCACATGCGCAGGATACAATAAAGCAATATGTCTGTGGCGTATTTTTTACTACTGTATCAATTGTTAGAACTGCATGCGAATGACGGCAAATACGGGATACGGGCGAGGCAGAATTGCTGACAATTATAAAGAAAAATTGCCACAAAGTTAATTAAAAAGTAGTGTGCTGTGCACACAGCCCCGATGCGATAGATAGCTGCGATGCATCCACGGTAATAATTATAGTTGCGACAATTATTATATTACAGTACAGTAGGTGAAATGGAAAATACAACGCTGCTGCTTCGTTATTATGGTTTATTCTTCACTATGCATCCAGTTTCTTTTTATTTCAACAACTGGAGGAAATATGCCATCAAAATATAACATATCTTAGTTCCGATATAATATCAAATTTGATTTTTCCCCAGTAACTTTTTGTACAGCAAACGATTATAAATTCTTTGGGACAACAAACGGACATTTTTAGAATATCTACTAGTGTTTTGTGCTGTCAGCCAGCTTGAAATAATTTAAAAACTTGCTTGGGAAGCGCCGAGTCAACTTGTTATTACAATAAACAATTTGGGTTTCAGTCATACAAAACTGCTATTTCTGCTATGTATTTTGAGAAGGCGCAAGTTGGAGGTTCCTATATTTAGGAATTGCATTGTCTACATAACTATTCCACAACTGATCTGCCGTACCTACATACTAAACACTAAAGGAGTATCTGCAGCTAACCTGAAACCGAAAAAAAAAAACATCCAAAGGTTGGACCTTTTATTTTCGCTTATCAAAGACCAAGAACACTTGTTCGTGTTCAGAGACGTCGTAATTATTTCTTCTATGGTAAATGCACGTGGATATTTATGATGGGTGTATTAATTATAATAAAACGTCGTTATTCGGCGATGTTTAGCATATGTCTAATATGTGCGTAGAATTACTGGGGTTGGAGGTGTATAAAATTGGGATATGCCCTCCCCGCCCCCTGCAACCCCTAACCTACAAATTTTCCGAAAAACGGAAAACCTAAGATGCTTAGGATGCACTTAGTCAATCTGCTTGAATACGTGTTTTTCATTGAATATAACAACTTCTTGTTTATAAGGAATATTTGACAGGCAAAAGTCTGTTAATAGATCCCGAAAAGATAATAAAAAAGCTGAAGGAAGTTCATTTAATTTGAACCTTTAAAGGCTTATGACACCTGCTATTAGTAACGGTAGGGAGAGTAATGCCGATGCCGACTGGCAAATGCTTTTTTAAACGTTCACCATTAGAAATGAGGAAGGGTTATTAGACATTCGTTATCATAAAATATCTATCATTAGTAATATAAACAGACATGGATCGGCTTCAAAAACGCATATTCAGCTGTCAAAGGACAGATTTAAAAAAATATAACAGACGCATTCGTATAAGCTACCTAAAACTATAGTTATGTATGTACTTATATTGGATATTGGATGGCATTTTTTAAATGGGGAACATTCTAATTTGTTGTCCACTTATCTAGATCCAAATATGATCGTCCTTACTTCTCCTCAACACCTGAATCTGTAGAATATTTAGATGGTTGATTTCAATGAAGAATGAAGTTTTTTCCCTATTCATGCTTTAGCCGTTTTTCTGTACTTCCCGGATAACATGCAAGACAGCTTGACAAGCTGTATCTAATATTAGTTATTTCTCACTTGCTTCCAAATAAAACGTTTAGTTGACAAATCGACTTAATGAAGTTGCAGGATAAAGTTATAATTGACGCAGTCACACAAAAATTTTCGTCTAATTAGATATGCGCTAAGCCTAGAAACTTAAGATTGAGAGTTTTTCTGGTAGGTGGATCAAACAGAATGCTCCCAAATCAAACACAAAAATCCCCCAGATTGGCAACTTTTAAAAAAAAATGTCCCAAATCGTATTTTATATTCCAGTACTCAACTTTGTGGTTTTCACAGAGTATATAAATATTTTCATTAACCCATCAAATCTGGGATGCGTAAGAAGTCCCGAGTAAATCTACTATGCCCAATTTTTTGTTGTACATTTGTATTTATATTTGACAGTTAAAAAACTTTAAGACATTTTAAACTCACTCGATCAACGTGTGAAGTGAATCAGTATACACTCAAGCGCTATACATACCATTAGTATTCAATGATATGATTTAAGTAATTATGATGTCCTGCTCGAAAACGGACATTTTGAAATGGCATTATTTATACAGGGTGTTTCAGTTTATTGTTGCATAACTTTAAGATTCGATAGAACTTTTAAAATTAATGCATACAGTCTATATAAACATGGGTCGAAAAGTGCGTGGCTTCCGGAATACAGGGTGTTTAAATTTACTTTCTAAAATAGTTTTTTTTTTAAATATATCGAACAATATTTGGTGTATAACAGTGAAAATTGGTATACAAGGGTTTTTTGGTACGACAAAACGAACCATGGGCATAGTTTTACTGTAGCCGCTAGAGGGAACTCTCTACTGTACCTGTAGTGTATTAAAATGACCGAAAATTATTTCTTAGTGCAATTTTTTGCTTTTTGAATAAAAAAACTGATTCTTCGCACTTTTCAACATAAAAAAGCTCTCCTGTGAGTTTTCGTTATAGTTAGCCGTTTTTGAGATAATTCAATTTTTAAGGTTCCATGCATTTTTTATTATTTATGGGAAAATAATATTTTTTTTTACATTTTCGATTTGGGCATTACAAGTAATTAAGATGATCGTTTAGATTGTGTTTTTAAACACAGCAATAATTCCTAACTCCAAATAAACACAAAAAACAGAATATTAATTTGTTTAATTTTCCAATATTATTTTTAACAAATTAAATTAATTATTTACAACTAAAATGCTATTGGATAGTTAGGACAAACATACAAAATCTAAAGTAGTTGCTCGAAATGTAAACCCAATTGTTCAATACACAATTCACATCTACGAATGATCGAACGTGGTGCATTATTCAAATAAGGCCTTATTTCATCACATGCATTCCTGATTCTGTCTATTAGCATATCTCTTGTGGTTACGGGAGTCTGGTACACTTTTTCTTTTAGAAATCCCCACACAAAGAAATCTAATGGATTTAGGTCAGGTGATCGTGGAGGCCAGGCGACTGGCCCTCCACGGCCGATCCATCTTTCTGGATAATTTTCGTTCAGCCAGTTTCTAACTATTCTCGAATAATGAGCTAGACAACCATCAAGCTGGAACCAGGCCAATCTTCTTAAATCTAACACAACATCATCCCACATATTTGCATGTTCAGCCTTTAAAAATTCCAAGAAGGTCGCAGCATTTAACCTTGCAGACAAAAGGTAGGGTCCAAAGTCGATTACGGTAGATACCAATCCACACTTTCACACTAAATTCATGCTGAAAATTTCTTTCCCGAACTGCATGCGGATTTTCATGCGACCAAATATGTTGATTATGAAAATTTACCACTCCACGTCTAGTGAAGCATGACTCATCGGTCCATAAAACGTTACTTAAAAACTCCCTATTATTATCAGTTCTATCAAGAATCCACTGACAAAATGTGATTCTTTGTTCTCCGTCCCCTGGCTGTAGTCCTTGCACAAGTTGCAAATGGTAAGGACGCCTATGGTCATTTCTAAGAACACGGTGAACATGGCTTGCTGAAATTCCCAAGGCACCAGAAACTCTCCTAACACTTGTGGTCGGATCTCTATCAAACTCACGCAGAATCATACGGGTAAATCTGCGCTGACGAACATTTATGTTTTGATCCCTTTGGAGATTTCCAAAACCATTTTCAATTATTTGGCGATGCACTCTTACAAATACTGAGCGAGTTGGATGTCGTCTGTTTGGAAATCTTCGTGCGTATTCTCTGGCTGCTTCTGCTGTGTTTCCATTTACAAAGCCATACACAAAATGAATATCCGCTGTCTCTTGATTGGAGAATAAAAATGGCATTTTTATAAAACTTACAAAAAAAAACAGGTAAAAGAAACTAAATTTCGTGCATTCACAATTGCAAAAAACCTTTCAGGTTCAACAGACAACAAAACTAACTGTCAACTAATTGACGTTTAACCTTATTCTGCTTTCAATTTCAAAAATATTTGCAGGCACAGCCTACTTCTAAAAATTATCGAGATACTGACTTTTTAACGTTATTTTATCATAACTAATTAAAAACGCATAGAACCTTAAAAATCGAATTATCTCAAAAACGGCTAACTATAACGAAAATTCACAAGAGAGCTTTTTTATGTTGAAAAGTGCAGTTTTTTTGTTCAAAAAGCAAAAAATTGTACTAAGAAAAAATTTTCGGTCATTTTAATACACTACAGGTACAGGTACAGTAGAGAGCGTCCTCTACAGTAAAACTATGCCCATGGTTCGTTTTGTTGTACCAAAAAACCCTTGTATACCAATTTTCACTGTTATACATCAAATATTGTTCGAAATATTTAAAAAAAAACTATTTTAGAAAGTAAATTTAAACACCCTGTATTTCGGAAGCCACGCATTTTTCGACCCATGTTGATATAGACTTTATGCATTAATTTTAAAGTTCTATCGAATCTTAAAGTTATGCAACAATAAACTGAAACACCCTGTATATTTTAGTTCGTAAATTGCACCCCCAAATGTACGCACCTCACATGATGTATGTATTCATTTCAAAATTTGGCGTCCGCTATCATTCGCTTCGTCAGTATTAATTTCGGCTCTGCCCTCGTATTCCATCCTGCCTGCATTCCTCAGCCGTCCGCTCTGCTATGGATGGCGCTAAACGCAGTTGGCTATGCTGCCGCTCACCTGATTTCTGGTGTCTTTCGTTGCGCCAGGTCGCATGCTTGGCTGTCAATAGTGTCAAGTGTCAATGGTCGACCACAATATGGCGGCCAGTGAATTGACCCTAGAGTTACTTTACGAATTTTTCAAAGAAAACGGTGGAAAAGTGAAAAATATCGATGCAGTACGTTATTTCAAGAGTTACCTGACTGATCCCACGCATAAAAGTAAGTCCTACGCATTTTTCCTAAGCTTGTAAAACACAGAACAAGCTTTGTTTACGGCCGAATCCAGCCCCACCTGTGGATTTGTATTGATGTTCTCATTGATTTTCTAAGTAGTTTTCTTGTAAATCACATTCAGTTACCAGCGTTTTACAGCATTATTTCAACTCGACTGAGATTTGTATTTCTATTGGATGAGGAACTTTAAATAAACAGTTTCATGGTTGTTTGTTTAGATTCGGAATGAGTGTCTGTTTATATCCCATCTCCTGTATTCTCACAAAGCAACGATCAAAAATCGCGCTTCTCATTATCGTTAATGTGATTAATAATTATTAATATTCTATTCTCATTATTGTGCAAGTTATGTGATGTGTAGTAACTTTAATTACTTTATACAGTATTGACACTGACATAATGCAGAAAAAACTGCTGGCTGGGTCTTAGCAGGGTGTCCATGGGTTTGCTTTACTCATATTTGCTCAGCTTTTTTTCAGCTACTCATTTTTACTCGTGAATTTTTTGATTGCTCATTTTTACTCATTTGTTTCCTGATATGCTCATTTTCTGAGATGTTCCCATTAATCAAATAAGCAGTATCTAGTGTATCATTACCTCTTCCTCGCCCCCCCCGCTCTCTGTCTCTCTCTTTCCCTCCATTTGTGATCAAGGCATTCATGGCTCTCCTTTTCAAAAGTGCGGCCAAAGCTAAGCAAATTCCCCTCTCCTGCTCTACAATTTTTACAGAAAAGCTACCGAATTATGCATCTTTCACTCATTTTTTCTTCCCAAATACTCAGTTTTTACTAATTTTTGTTCCCGAAATACCCAATTTTCTCTTTTTTTTGAGTCATCAGCTTGTGAAGGCCCCACAGTTCAGATATCATAGAAATAAAGGTTCTATTGACAGTTTGCTTGTGCCCCAAAGCCCCTCTGAATACAGCCTTAGTATTGCAGAGTTTTGAGAATTTTTAACCCCAAGTCAGGTATCACTATTTTCTCTTTATATTTAAGATATTTTATTTTGGATGTAATTGAAAGTGTACATTGTAGAATTTTTTCATTATCAGCAAATAAAGTATCAGCAAAACTTTCTGAAAGTCCAGTTTTGTATGTCTTATAAAAAACACATATCAATGATCAAAAATCCTCATGAGTATGAAATTTTGTTTTCTATTGTGTCTCATTTCTAAGTATTTTGGCAAAAGCATTTAGCTGATGCACTAAAACTTAATCCAAACACACCCAATTTACCTAGGAAACAAATTTTCATTAGTATTATAGTCATGCAGGGGTTACTGATAATTTTCTATAATAATAATAAATTTATTTATCCTTTAGATCTTTATAGGTATTGGACATGTCATCATAATAGAATACATTTTTTAAAACAATGACATTTATGAGAATTGATAAAACATTTTTTGGACACACATGAACACATAAACATTACAGAGACAACTAATACACAAATTAACGATTTAAGAATTCTTGAACAGTATAAAAGCAGTTGTATAACAAAAACTCCTGTAGTGAATTCTTGAATGAAGTATCCTTTTTAGAAAATTTGACAAAGTGCTGTAAAGTTTTTGACCCATATTATAACAATAAAATATCTTTCAACCAATAAATGTATAATAAATGTAATAATTTGTATTTCAGAAGAGAATCGTTTTAAATTCAAGACATTCGTCAACACGATCGCGTACAAAGTGAGCGAGGGCGATGAGAAGATCCTAATTCTGAAGACACAATACCAGAACACCCTGTACCCGCCTCAGTCGCCCAGCTACCCTCCTCCCCCTTATTCCCCTCAAGCGGACCCTCGCAACTCCTTGGGCATTCCTGTTACGCCACCATTCAGCCCCATGGGCATGGGCATGCAATCCCCACCAAGACAGCCGCCCCCTTATAGGCCTCCGCCGCCTCCACCTGAATACACCTCCAGCTCTTCTTTGGATACCATGTCCATAGGCTCTGTGACGTCACTGAATGACCATGGGACTCCCCAGGCTCCACCCAGGAGGAGGGACTCTGATAGAAGGAGGTAAGCATTTTTTCAAAAATTCACGTTTCTTTGTTCGAATGGTTTAAACGCAATACTTGCAAATATCATAGTTGAATGCCAAATATTCAGTATGGAAATTATGTTGTAATGACTGACTGCAGGCAATATCTTTTGCATTTTTTTACAACATTACTTATCGACAGGCAAATTGAATAATGGGTTGCCTAAATTAATCCTGCCAGAGCGAAATTCCAACTGTTTCTGATATCAGCTAACTTTTTGATAAAATGAAATCTTTTCACGATGTGACTCACTCCTGCCATACAGTGCAATATCTTCTTTTGGCAGACGAACAAACACTTAGCGTATGGTGAGCTACTACCCCAAAAGCATAAGTCATACTGAAGCCTGGATTCTACCTAAGCATGGACACTGTGCTAGTACAGCCCTTAATTTCTTATTGCTTAAAGCCTAGGAATTGAAACAACATAATCACAGTGTGCTTTAAAATTGCAACATGCATTTAGATGCATCCCCAAAAACTTTACATTATCCACTATTTGCAGTGGTGCATCATTGACGTTGAAATTTGATGGAATTAGATTTTTCTGTCGATTGTGGAACCATAATACTATCGTTGTTTCTTTTTGAATTTAGAAATAGTTGAATCAATCGTCTAAAACTATCAAAGCAACTACTTGAATCATTAATGCGTGAGGCTGAATAGAATCGGTAATAAAATTAACCTCTGCGGCACACCAACAGTAACAGTAGTTGTATTTGACTTAATCTATCTGATTACGAGTCTGAGGTTTACCTGAAAGTTGCCACATATGAAAAATTTTCAATTTCGGAAAGGCTTTTATTGGGAATACCTATAGCAATTCTCAAATTTGTATACCTTATGCAGTTTGTAAACTTGTATGACGTAACCATACTATGATGATTATTGCAAGGTTGCTCTAATTCCAATCAAAGCATTTTGTGCTTATCGTTCACCGTAAATGGATGGAATGCTTACAATGCACGATTTGTATTGTTTATAATGAATATGTAGAATATGATACTGTCCACCTGTTCATTGCACAGTGCGTCATGAAATGGAATGAATGTTGTAGATCGGCGCCAATGGTGGACGAGCTGACGACGCCCAAGAAACCTCAGGAGAAGGAAAACCAAGTCGATGGTGGTCCTGCAGCTGGAGAAGAAAAACTCAGCGTGAAAGAAAGGACTCAAAAGTTCAACAGGTTGGCCTCGATCGAAGATGAGCTGAGTCCCAGGCAACCGAAGAGCGCTGAGAAAAAGATGAACAATAGCAGGGTAAGTGGCTAGCTGTCATTCAATCAGATTTTTGCGAATTGTCAATAGCCTTAATTGCACTACTTAATCATTCATTCTCAAATCATAGTTGATTTGGTTTGATTTGCGGTCAGAAAGAAATGGAACAGTCACAAATCATATAGTGCAACCATAATAACTTTACACAGTTACACTGTCCTACATATTTGTACATAGTCTGGTCCTTGTCTATCATTCCATTGTAAAAGTATCATAATGTGCCTCCACAACTTGCGATCCTTCGCCAGGATTTCCGCATTTTTCTAGCATTGCTCTTCTTCTTTAAAACTTTGCTACTTTGCTGTTTCCATTTCTATTTTCACTCACATGAACCATATGTACGTACCAACTTAGTTGTTTCTGTTCGATGCTATATTTCCTGGTGGGTTTAAGCTTCATTAATTCGCGTACTATTTGCGTACCCTACTGTTTCCTGGCGCGGATCTTAGGCTTTGATCTGGCTTTGTAAGATGTCTTTCAGTGTTCTTGTTTCACATCTCTGTGTCGGAACTGGAACAAAATAGTCTGTTAAAGATTTTAACTTTTGTTTCTTTTGATTATTTCTTTTACCACCTATGCCAAAGCTGGCGACAAAGTATTGTAATCAAAATTGAGATATTATGTTTTTGGATGATATATGACATGTACATCATGAACAACCATGTGACTCATTTCCGCCGGTCTATATGTCGGCCTGTCTACTGATTTTACAACCGCCTATAACTTAACATTAGTTGTCGATGAAATTCTCACATAAGGTTACTACTATGCCAAGGATGAATAAGCTTTGTAGTTTTTGAAAATCGGTCTAGTGGTGGCGGAGCTACAGACATCGATACAAAAAAAACATTAAATTCATTTTTTGAGGGTTCAGAGGCTCCTGACAATTTTCGGATTTTTTTTCAGGGGTTGAAAACTTGTTGTTTGAAATAATTTGGCAATCGTTGACGTTGCATACACGGCGCGATGCTGCATCGTCTTGGAGGCCACTGCTCGCGGTGTATTAGATAACAATCTCTGACTGTTTAAATATTTTAGCAAAACTTGAATATTAGGAGTACGTATCATTTTCGCGTTCTGCGATGTTTTTGTAAATGATGTCTTGACTATTTTTATATCTATCTATACATATATTTTTTGAATTTTATGATCCTTAAATGTACCTACGCCTAACCTTCAATTTGTGTTACTGCGTCTATGATGGTTCTCGGGATAGGCGGAGGAAATAAAATGGTTGAAACATAGTGTTACAACATTTTCATACATTGCTTGGAGCCGATGAAAATTATAGGTTTGAATGTTGTAAATTATTGCATTTTGGAAGTAGTGAAAAACCTTCAATTATTATTAAAAAGCTACTGATCTCAGTGATACTGTGCACCTGTTAGACATAATGAGTCACACATATTTTCCCTACATCTGTCATGGACATACGATAGATCTGCTTTATATAATTTGATATGCCGAGATCGAAGATTCATCGTACCTAAGTGAACTCATCTAGTAACGATTTGACTTATCCTTTTGAAACCTCCAAAGAAAGCGTATGAAGTTTAGAATCAATCTGCTTGACGCCATTTTTTCCTGATAAATGTTTTATTCAAGTAGAAGTACAGTTTATTTGCATTTTGTATCCTTGTATTGATTTTGGTTTCAGTGTCACCATTGACTTCAATTATTGAACTTAAGTATAAACTATTTGTTTGCTAAACATTTTATCTCCTATCTAGTACCATGACTTTTGTTTTTTGGGCGTCAATATTATGAGTTTTAATTTCTTTCTCTCATATTTCCAATTGTTTATGGAGTGGTTTTGCATTATATGTCAGTTACACTATCCTTCAACCATAATAGTTCCTCGCCGATAACATCGTAAATATTGTACCCGAAAAATATCTGTAACAGCATTATAGTCAATAATGATATCCCCAAGAGATGTCTCAAACATTCTCTCCGCCATCCGGCAAATTAATTTGCCGCTTGTACACGACAAAAACAATAGGAGCACGTTGGTCGGTCGGTCGGCCGGCTCAGTGCGATGTAAAATTTTAATTCGTCCCTTTTGAATATACATATACAGTAGAACTCCAATTTTCCGAATTAATGGGGACCGGGACCCATTCGGATAATCAAATATTCGGATAATCGGATTTTTTTTTTAAAAATTGCCATTGGAGAGAAAAATGCTACGTTTTGATATTGCACTATTTTTTTTATTGAATTAAATGAAAGAAACATGATATTTTCACATGTTTTAAATATAAATACATACATAAAATACATAAAATGTATGTACGTACATACATATGTACAAGTTTAGAAATAAAAATCATTGTTTTTTAAACATCTCCGTCAATGTAAGCTGTTTTGCGTTCTTCATCCGTTTTCGGGCAGCCAGGTCACGCATTCGCTTGACGGTGAGCAGTTGCAAGTGGTCACACTCGGGCTGACGCTCCATCCACTTCAAAGCAGTCTCGAGGCCGGCAAATGCTTCACTAGCTGATGGTCCAGCGTCTACTTCAACATCAGCAGAAAGTTCTTCTCCCACTTCCACTTCAACATCTTCTCTCACACTTTCAACAATTTCATCGTCATTGAGAATTTGAAAACCAGGGTCAGACGTGTCACAAGCCATCCACTCTCCTACATCTTCAGCACTTACTTCTGTACAACCAGGAATTTTTACAATCATTTTTCTTATTTCCTCTAGTGACAACGCATCTTCATCATCTTCATCCTCTCCATTTTCTTGTTTCTCATTTTCTTCAGATTCTTTTTTTTTGTTCTTCTCAGACGGTAGGCCTTTCAGTTTATTCCACGCACGTCTTAGCGTCACTGCCGTAACCAAACTCCAAGCTTCCGCTACCATGTAACAGCAGTCCTTTAAATTTATTTTGCTATGATTTGCCAAAACCAATTCTTCATCTTCAGCACCTTCGATCAGCAGTTTTCTCAGCAGTTGCCTTCTGTAATGGCGCTTCATTGTTTCAATAACAGACTGGTCCATGGGTTGCAGCAAACTTGTAACATTGGGAGGCAAAAACGTCGTTTTAAACTGCCCTTTCTCTCTTTCCAACAGTTCTGCTGTAGGATGAGTGGGTGCGTTATCAACAATTAAAAGCACCTTACTGCCTTCTTTTCCCACCGATTTTTGGTGCTTTTTCACTTCAGGAATAAACACTTCATCATACCATTCGGTAAACAAAGCTGCAGTCATCCAGGCCTTGGGTTGACTTTTGTAGAAGAGTGGAAGTTTTTTTACGTTTTTAAATGCTCTTGGATTTTTTGATTGTCCTATCAAAAGAAGTGGTAGTTTATGATTTCCAGTGGAGTTGGCACAGTTAAGCACTGTAACACGTTCTTTACTGACCTTATGTCCAGGGGCACTAGATTCCCTTTTAGAAGCCAAAGTGGTTTTTGGTAATGCTTTCCAAACAAGGCCAGTTTCATCGGCATTATAAACAAACTCCGGATCATAGGATTCTGCTGCAGTTTTAAATTTTTCAATAAAATTTTCAGCAGCTGCAGAGTCTGCTGAAAGCTTCTCACCAGCCAAATCTAACTCGCGTACACCATGCCTGAATTTAAAGTTCCTTAGCCAGCCGTTACTAGCCTTAAAAGATGAATAACCAAGCTTTTCTGCTAAGATTTTGGCTTTTTCACAAAGGATTGGACCTGAAATCGGATTTCCCATAGAACGTTGCTGCAAAAACCATTTAAACACGGCATCTTCCAAATTTTTGTTGGTTGCTGTCTTCATTGTTTTCCTGGAGGAACTTCCATCTTCATTTTCAAGCACCGAAACAAAGTTTAAAAGTGTTGACTTACTGTTTTTAATGTCACAAATTGTTGCTTGTCCAACACCATAAATCTCAGACAACTTCTTACCCGTTACACCTTTATCGAGTTGCTCTATAATTTTCAGTTTGTCCGCTAACGATAGCACAACACGTTTTCTTTTCGAAGCCATGGTGAAAAACAATACAGTACAATAGTATTGTAAGCCGTAGCGAAAGAGTAGCGTCCTCGAGCAAGGTCAATAGCACACTGACTATATTGGTGCGCCGTGACTGCAATGTGCCGGAACTGGAGTGGGGACTCATACCACGTGTTGTTGTGCCTACACTGACGCCGCGGACTTTGGACAAATTTAAAGTGATTCGGATAATCGGCGATTCAGATAGTCGGAGTTCGGATAATTGGAGTTCTACTGTATTCATATATAGTATATACCAGGCGGGCAGCGAACGAGCGCGCGTGGTCCAGGCATCAAAACTGTATGATTTACTATTGTTTAATTCAAGTGGTGGCAGAGTAACGAGCTCGTTTGCCGCCCCGCGCCATCGCTGAATTTTTACCCCTCATCACTACGCCTTCCGCCAGGGGGGCGAGTGAAGGGTCAATTACGATATTGACCCCTACGGACACCTCATGAGTTCGTATGAAGTCTGTGTTTTTTTAGATGAGAGAATGAAATTATGAAAACGAACGAGTTCACAAAATAATAATGGCAATGTTTCTGAAGCATGAAGAACATTCAAAAATAACATAAAGGTTCATATAAGCATAGGTCCTAAAATGTCTCATTACCAAGATATAATAATAATAATATATTGTCCACCGGCCACCCATTATAGCGAATATATTTTCATGTCGCCAGCACAACACAATTGCATACATTTGAAATTTTCATAAAGGTCATTAATAAACAATAGAAATAAAAGTGGTCCCAAGTTAGACCCGTGGGGAACACCGGATGGAGATTAGTCGGACTTGAACTTATATGCTACGTATTGCCTCCGCCCTGATAAATATGATCTAAAGAATTTTATAGTATTCACTGTTTAGCGAAAGCATTTCAAAGATCTGTATAAATGACATTAACCTGACAACTATCATCCAGTGCTTCAGATTTGTACAGAGTTACAATAACCGGGCTCGTATGAGCGGATTGATTGTTGACCAAACTGAGCAGCCGCTGTGAGAATTAGTTT